TATCCATCCCGTATTTTTGAAAACACATTGGCATACTAAATATTATTATTTAGAATGCTGTTCAGATGACAGTTAGGATTATACCTATAAGCCCAGTCAAGACTGCAGATCATTTTCACTATGCACTGTACAGAGATGAGCTTTTTAGATTAATCTGAATCATTAGAAGTACATTATTGTACTTCTACATTTTCAGACAGTCTGTAGGAAGACTGAGCTTGTTCTGATTTGGTTCACCGTTTTCAAGGCCAGGTTGGATGGAGCTTTGGGCATTCTGGTCTCGTGAAAGGTGGCCCTGCAAGTGGCAGGGAGGTTGGAACTAGATGATCTTTAAAGTCCCTTCTGACACAAACCGTTCTATGATTCCATGATTTTTATCCCATTTAAATCCCGAATCTTACTGAAATCAGTGATGTTGCCATGTTGTAAAGGAAGTAAGAGTCCAGAACCAAAGTTTCATGAAGAAGAACGTACCCAGGCTCACGCTACAAGATATGGCAATTTGCTCTTTCTCAAAATGACTTTCCACTGACTTCCCATTGAACTCCAACATATTCTGTACATGCAAGAGAAGTAATCTGCTTACTCTCTTTATTCTAGGTCACACTTGAATGAGTCTAATAGATCACTTATCTGAATGAACCATGAAATGAGCTAATCATGTAATTAGATATAGTGTCCATCTAAAGGGTTGTAATCCTAATACCATTTTATTTAAAATCTTGGGATAGACTGAGATATGTTTAACAATCTGACATTCAGGACCATTCCACTCCTTAATTATCTAAATTATTACTCTAAAAAAGAATGTGTGTAGAACAGTACAATTACAAATAGATGTTATATAAAAACATTAGGATATTCATATATATTAGTTTATATCCAAATATAAATTCAACTCTAAATATAACAAATCTGTTAATTTATAAAGACAAATTTCCTATTTTCCTTGACCAAGGATGAAAGATTTAGACTGCAATTAATTAATACACATAAAATGTCTCACTTCCTTAGCTTAAATGCACAGAGTACAGAGAAACAGATCCAGGTACAGCACATGGAATTGTGTCATCCCACATGATGAAGAGATAAATATTTCCCATTCCTGTCTTGTAAAATTATATGGTGGTATTTTTCAAATCAATGATTTATTTCTCTGCCCCTTGAAAGTCTGGACCAGGCAATACTGAATGCCACCCCATATTGTTAATAGAGAATATATATAGATAAAGTATATGTCTAGACTACCTTAGACATGAGCAGGAGGAGAACCTAGAGCACACTTGCTGCTTTCCATTGTGGCTGGCACTTGGATACAAAACCTAAACACACTAATTATGTTCGTCATTTTGACATAGCTATCAAGGTCAAAATAAATGCAAACAGATCATTTTCACTAATTTAATGTTAGTTCTCATTTACCATATGATTATAAAACTTTCAAAGTGCTCTTTTGGTCCAAACCAACATCCATCAAGTGCTGCTAAAGAATAAATTACATGGCTTAACTCTTCTTTCAGAACTGCCTTATTAGGAACACTTATCACAAAATCAGATGGAAGAGAGGGACAATCATGATGAAACAGAAAAAAAAAAAGGAAAGACATCAGAAAATATCACTGTTCTTGTGTTACAAATACATATAAAGCATCTTAAGAAAGTAGTCCCAAAAGAATACATTTTTTCTGTTGTTTTTTAAAAATAAAATATTCTCCTATATTTGCTTCTTAAACAGAAATAAAATCCAAATTCTATGTATGCAACTGAGCTATTCAGTAGCAAAAGATAAAGCTTGTACTTACACTCAGGTTTTTGGCTTTAGAAGTAACACTAAGATTTTGAAGTGTTCTACAAAATAGAAGTTCTTCACATGATCTCCTTCAGAAATCCTGATCTTTTGGAAAAAAAGTATGTATACATCTGGTAACTAAAATTGATGAGATTCATCTCAGTTCCACCAAGGTTCATCCAGTCAAAACCAGCAAGATTCAGTGAAATCCCAAATAAAACATGAATCACATCAGTACAATTCGACAATAGCAGGATTCTAGCAGAATGCAAAACCATTTTGAGTATTTGAATACAGGTAAACCCAGGTCAACTTTTCCACAAAGCTGAAAAAATGAAGCTGGCTGGAGTCCTATCAGGATGAAGGTGGTGAGGCCCTGGCACAGGTTGCCCAGAGAAGCTGTGGCTGCCCCATCCCTGGCAGTGTTCAAGGCCAGGTTGGATGGGGCTTGGAGCAACCTGGTCAAGTGGAAGGTGTCCCTATTTCTGTAAAAAAAACCCCACACATTTTCTGTAAAAATCATCAACCTAATCTGAAGGATGCTGGAGAAGGAATCTTCATCAGGGACTGTAGCAATAGGACAAGGGGTAATGACTTCAAACTAAAACAGGGGAAGTTCAGGCTGGATATAAGGAAGAAGTTCTTTACTATGAGAGTGGTGAGGTACTGGAACAGGTTGCCAAAATAAGTGATAAATGCTCCACCACTGGCAGTGATCAAGTCCAGTTGGACAGAGCCTTGGGCGACGTGGTTTACTGTGAGGTGTCCTTGCCTACAGAAGTGGGGTTGGACCGAGATGATCTTAAGGTCCTTTCCAACTCTAACTATTCTATGACTCTAACAAAACTAATTTATTTATCTAACAGTCTTGAAATATTTACCTATTAACTTAGAACAATTACATTAATTCTCAGATAGTAACTAACTGGTTCTCGGCTAAACAACCACAGGCTAACTATGACTGCATGCAATAAACACACCTCAATTCTTCTGGGAAAGCTATTCAGACAAGGAAGCAAAGCATACCAGGACACTAACATAGTAAGTGTAATCTTAGATATATACCCAGTTAAACACTGGATGCTAAGTGCAAAACGAATCTTTGTGTATTCAGGAATAGCTCCTTCCTGAAGTATTGAGATACCATTACAATTCCCAGTCAAGTGGATTCTTAGCAATAATTGGTTATTTTTTTTGCATTGGCTAAACTGTCACAAAAGCCCTGTTTCTCTTCCCTTGGGATCCTGAAAAACTGAGAGAAGATAGGTAGATGGGATACAACCAAAATATATACTAATCCATTACAGAAAATTAACCTCTCCTTCTTCGAGAGCTTACTTCTATTCATATTCACACAGGGCATGACTTCAATAACACAGTTCCCTATACAGATATTTATAAGCACACTTTGGAGTCTTCATGCAGTAACAATGACCACTCTGTCTTAATTTGGTAATAATGTAGATGGAGCACTGAGTAATCTCTTGTAATCTACATTATAAATGACTTGCACAACAAATACACTTCAGTGATGTAAAGGTCTGGTGCATGTGTCTAACCAAATATGGCAGGCCTAAACACATACTCTGTAATATGTCGTAAAATGCTTTTCCTGAACTTTTGTATTGAAAAAGGAATTATATCAGAGGTCTAAAACATCTGTACAACCTAGAAGATGACCCAAGATTGCTTGTCTCCTTCTTGGGTTGTTTAGAGGGAACAAGATCTGTTCGTCTCATCAACCCCGTTGACAGCAGGTAATGTCAAACAAATAAGTTATTCAGTTAGTTGTCATGTTTGGCAAGTCTGCAAGATTGCAGGGCATAAAAAAAAAACAACCCAAACCAGAGTATTTTATTATATCTTGTGGTTGCAGAGAAATTTAAAACTTTGGTTAATATTTAACCAAACCACTTTTACTGAGATCAGGGAAGGAAGACTTACCTTTCTGTAACTGTTTACACGAGCTCTTGACTTCTTTACAATAAAATTAAATACATTGTCTGCTTTCAGAAGTTATTGCCATATTCTTACCTACACCCCTCAGCAAGCTTCTGCTAAAGAGACCTACATTTTGGACTAGAAATTCTATCCTACCCTTTATATGATATTAATCTAGCATTTGTGAGTGGAAAAACAGAGAGGTAAAATTATGTAAAAATAATTCATTCCAAATACATATCAACTGCTACTAATAAACAAAATATTTAGTGCCCTTTATAAAAGATGTGAACAGTTTTGACACTGGAAATTCTGACACTAGGAATATTATATCTTCACATATTCTTATTTTCTCTTGTTTCTCACTTCTGACATCAGTTCCAACTATTTCCTTGATATTTATGGTCCTCATGTACTACTGCAAAATTTTTACGTAGACAAATTTCCCAAATTCTGAATAATTTTCTTTACACAAAAATCCCTCCAAAAATGGACAATTTCTTCCTGATTATTAGGCACTCAGATCCAGTTTGGTGGGTCTTGTTTGTTTTTTTCCCTATAATGACTTCTTTCCTGATGTAGATATTCTGAGGTAAGCAAGGATATATGCCACATACAACATCAGATCAGAAGAAAATGACCCCAATTTATGACACTGGAGACAGACTGCTTTCCCATTTTTATCAGCTGAGAAAATTAAACAAAGAATTCGTTTGGCTGCTCTGAACAATGGATTTGCAATTTGCATAGAAAAAATGATGGCAAAACCTCATAACCCATCAGTGTTTTACCACGAGTTCAGTTCTATTACAATTTAGTGGAGGTTCAAAGTTGTGTAAAGAAACCATTTTCTTCTTCCTCCAACCATAAATGTGTCACTTGAGAGTTCAACTTCCAATAGGAGCAGAATCTGACATACAACTAATTTTAGAATATAAAGCGCTCCTCACCATACTGGAATACATATAATTTAAAATAACTGTAAACCTAAACGTTGCAAAAACAGAAAATTCAAACACTAACAAAAAAGCATAATTTATAATTGAAAGAAAATAATATTTAAAAGAAAACAAAAACTTTTTTGTCTTTCCAGAAAGAGACAGAAATTACTAAGTTTTATTTCCCAAGAGAATTATGCCACTTTTATAAAGAAAATTACAGTTACCACAAATTGCTCTCAACAATTCCAAAGCTTCTTCATTTGACCACTTGAAAATCAAAGTTCTTTAAGATTATAAATATAACTTTTTATAACTCTGTTATTACGTACTGTGAATGGGGAAAGGGGGCCAATCTTGTGGCCATAGCGTCGAATGGCCTCTCTGATGTGGCTGGGCTGGATGGCATCGCTTTGAGCCTCTATACCACAGGCTGCAGTGCTCTGCAACAGAAAAACACATAAATTGTTACTAAATCAAAAACACACAACAGACCTACAGTGCATAAAGTATGAAAATAAACCCTTATAAAATAGACCAATTCTTTTTTCCTGAGGATACACATCATTGCTGCCACACACTACATTAGAGAAAAAAAGCTATTAACAAATCAAAAAGGACTTTTACATGAACTTTGCTTAAGAGACCCAAAGAACACCATATTTGTCCTCTTAAATCTTTCCCCTACTGCTGCTGTAGGTTGCAATTGAAAAGAGCAGAAAATGTTCAAACTAAAACGAAAGGGTCAATTAAGTCATACTGCAATAACCACAGAAACTAATTTTAAAACTTTTCAGGCTCTCATTATGATGTCAAGGGGTGGGGAAAATATTGAACAAGTACATGAAGTGGAAAGCAATTTGACACCAAAATCATCGAGTAATATCAGATTGAAATTTGAAGCTGAAACATAGATGTGATACAATGGTGTAAGAGGGATGAAAAAATATTCTAATTACCTCAAACTGGAATGTTTTCAAATGTGAAATGACTTTTTAGATTAAGGATACTAAATCGGAAAAATAAGAATTCATTGCTACTGTCCACTGATTTTACAAAAACATCCCCAGGATTTCAAAAGAAAAAGTTACTCTTGTCTCCTTGCTAGTCAAACTGAAATGTTGGGTTAGGCTCCATAGTGATATGGCTGCTTGCCAGAATTCAGATGACTTATCAGAATGATGGCTGCTTGGTAATAAATTAATGAAAATTATATTAGTGAATGCAGTAAGAATGACAAAACCTTAAACTATACACTGAAGTTTAATGTATACACATACAGGGTCCTCTCATACATTTACACTACATGCTAATGCTTTCCAACTTGGGATATTTTTAGACTCAACTTTTTATTTTCAAGAGTGCTGAGTCCACTGGAGCCTGTGTGTGTATACACAGAATTATTCATAATATGATGGCAGATTCTTGCCTTGCTGATTGACATAAAGGGAATATGAAACTCAAATATTTTCTGCTGGACTGAGTCTTCAGGGACTAAGAATAACATTCTTCACCAATTTGTTTGTCTGAATGCTTCAGTTATATCTAGTATGTACACAACCAAATTGTCATGGGAATATTTCATTAAAAGTGTGCACTTTTTAGAATATATTGTAAAAGGCATCAAGTAAGACACTATGAACTTAAAATTAACTCACAACACTAGTGAAATTTAATGTAGCAAAAACTACATCTCCAGCTAAACTCTTGTTCCTAGGAATTATAATGGAAATCAGCCACAAACCAAAACATAACCAAACATAGAAAAGGAATAGGAAAAAGCAAAAGTCTTCAGAGAGGTTTTTAGGATTCACTAAAGGCTTTCTAAACGGATTAAAATAAGAGCAGAGAGAAGGCTGAACATATGAGGAGTATCTACAGCACTGATGACATCAGATTAAAATAAGAGCAGAGAGAAAGTTGAACATATGAGGAGTATCTACAGCACTGATGACATCAGAAGGGGAAAATATGTATTTTTCTATTTGTCGTCGTAAAAATCACTGGTTCAACTCCGTGAAAAATGAGCATTTGTTTTAGGAGAATAATATTGCACACGAGAAAATAACAAGTCACATTACTGCTTTGCAGCAAAGTGAGTACTGCCATGATACATTATGCAGAGTAGCCCTGCATAGAAGGACTTGGGGATGTTGATCGATGAGAAACTTCACATGAGATGGCTTCAGTGTGCATTTGCAGCCCAGAAAACAACAGTATCCTGGGCAGCATCAAAAAAAAGGAAGTTCAAGGCAGTCACCTAAGGCTGCTAGGAGCAGGAAAATCACAACAATCTCTTTGCCTACTTTGCTTATGCTTTGACCCTCAAAACCTATGCTAGCTGCTACTGTCAGAGAAGGGGTGATTATCTGGGGTCGCGTCTACCACTGCAGCTCTAAATGAGCAGCTCATCTCAGAAGCAGCAGTTGCTACCTCAACAAAATACGTTTGCCAGCGTTATCGAGAAGCTTTAGCATAGTTCTGATGGAAAAACCACCAAACCACACATCTGGCTTGAGAATAATATTGGTAGTCAATATGTGGTAAAGATTAAAATTAGTATTTAAAATGAGACATGCTACTTCTTGAAGACGTGTTAATTTCTTTTTCTATTTTTTTTTTTTCCCAGACTTGTGCACCAAATACCTTTTTTCTTTTCCTTTGTTTGGATTTGGTAGAGTCCTGTCCAATTCCACCATTTCCCAGGGCTCCTGATGGGGTTTTTCCAAGGTATTGCTGTCCTGCTGATGCTGGGGGTGTGGGTGTAGGAGGTGGTGTGTTTTCAGGAGAGTCAAGACTTGTCTTCACACTTGTAGATTGCCCTAAGAGATGTGGCTATAAAAGCAAGATGTCAAACGGTCATTATAAAATCAAATCACAAAAAAAACAACCAACCAACCAACCAAACCCAACTTATTGCCTACTTAGATTTACACTTGGAAGAGATGTAATACAGAATTCACTTTGCTCATTCTAGAGGTTACTATAATACATGTATTGTAGCAATGCATGCAATGCAGCACTTATTGCACTTGTCACTGTTGAAAACTTTAATCTCCAAAGCTACAACAGAGAGCACCATCAATACAGAGAAGGAATTTCCACCCAAGAAAAGAGGATTTAGGTTTAAATATAAAGATGCTGCTAAGAATTTAATATTTGGAGCTATAATTTAACGTCTTTCTGTCAAAATCCATAACTTCATAGAATCATAGAATAGTACAGGTTGGAAGGGACCACGTTGCTCAAAGTCCCATCCAACCTGGCCTTGAACACTTCCAAGGATGTTCATAAACTGCATAACAGAAGTCTTCATCAACACTAGATTTAAGAACAGCTACTCTGAAAGCAACAAACTACCATATACATGTAAAATTAAAACATAAAATGCATTAGTATGTGAAAAAGCAAGATTTACCTCAGCAGAATTGTGATACTGTATGAAAGTGGCAGATATGGCATGACTGAACGGGTCACCAGCTTTCGGAGCCATGTCCTGCTTAACCAGAAGGGCCAAGTCCACCAACTGGAGGGGCAAGAACAGGTTTGCTGACATAGTACTTACTATAAATGCCATGGTAACAAAGAAGTGAGAGGGAGTCGTGAGTTGAGGCCAATTATTCTTAGTGTTTCTCAGTTGAAAACAAACTTTTCAGAGATATATCACCCTAAGAAACCTTTTTGTTCCACTTTTGTAAATATATGGAGTAATCTATCTACCCAAGAGGGCTTAGCTTGGCACTAAGGTAAAATTTGTTTTCCAGGAAATCCTTCTTTTTAATCCAATTGTGCAATGGGGTTGAATGAGCCTCAGCACACTGCCAAAGGTCACATAGCAAACTATGTGGTTTCAGTTTGGACTTGAATAAAGTTCGTGCTGGACTCCACTCTCCTCTGTAACCATTATAAAACACTTCTATTTGTGTATCAGATGGATGAATTCAGTGTAGTATGCATCTGTCACACTGTAAATTGAAAGACAGACAGGAATCCAGTTACCTTGGTTAGCTGAAGTAGTGACTACATGCTTCTGAAGGGGCTTACAACACAATTACCTGAGGCTGAAGTACACCCAAGAGTAACTAATTTTGTTTGCTCAATGAGTATACTCTCTTACCTGGGCCACAGTCTCATATGCTAAATATGCCAAAATTTCCATTGCAACTGCATTTGGCTTTATTTCCATACTGCTACAGTCCAACCAGTCACGAAACTTGGATGCTTTCTTTGCTGTCAGTTAAAATCATAAGGGGAGAAGGAAAAGTTAACAACAGGAAGGCCAAAAGAATGCATTCTTGTGGGTCACAGAAAATAACACAGACATGAAACCAGGAGTGTTAACATGAATTATCAAAATGGAACTAGTAGGGAAGAACATATTTAATACAAAACATTTTGGTGACCCATAAGCAGCATGGATAAATATACACTATTAATCAATCATACAGGAGATTTCAGAACAAGGGAGGATCTACCTCAAAAGACTGCAGACAGGAGAAACCTAAAACAATTGCATCACATCTTTGATGAATAAAAGAAATCACTAGAATAAATCAATGCAAATATGAGTCTGGATAAAATGATACAATAGTGAAGACAAATGAAGAAGGACAGAACTGGGATAAGGTGTTGACAAGCCAGCCAATATGATTTGTAGATGAGTGCTTTTAAAATCTGCCTTAGATATAAGAAATAAGGATAGATGTAGATCTGCAAATGAACAACATTCATATGAGAACTTCACACTGCTAACAGATGAAGTAACTTAGGAGGAAGTACAGAGAAAAATATAATAGAAAGAACCATGACATTTGCTAAGAGAGTTAAAGGAGGAAAAAAAGGATGATCTTACTTAGGTCAGTGGTGGACAAGCTGATCACAGAAATCTGTAGAGATTTAGACAGAAAGGAGCTAGTAATATAGAAGTCTTAATGAGGGTTGTTTGTGAAGGCAGGACAACCCAAATAGAGTAGATAAAACGTGGAAGAATCATTTGAAATGTTCTTTTCAAATAGTCTTCAACAAGGACTAAAAAGCTAAAAACAAGTCAGGTACTAAACCGAAAACAGGTGTAAAGAGTGGTTATTTTTGCAGGAGGGAATGGAAGGCTACATCAGGTCGCTAAAGACAGAAAAAAAAACCCAAAACAAAAACCAAAGGAAGAGAAGCATGCAGGTGACAGCAGGACCACAAAATGTACCCTACAATTTAGATTTGTAATCCTGTAGTACTTTATCCTAAGATGGGCCGTTTCTTTTGCATGTCTTTAAAGGTGGACAGAAACATGGGGAGCTGCGATTATTAATATATATTGTTAAAACAGGCTTCTCCAAGTTCCTTCCAGGTTTATTCTTTTGTGACACAGTTTTCATGGGTTTATATTACAGTAAAAAGGGTTTATAACTGTAAACATAGCAATACATTTTTTTTTTTTTTTACTAAAAGCTAAGAAACTAAGTAAAACCAGCTTTTGTACTAGTTTTGAATGTTCTGTATGGCCTTAGTATGTTCCATCTAGTTGAGTTCATATTATGCAATTGAATTTGTGCATAAATCTCTCTTGCTAGTATTTTGTAAGCCCTGTAAATTCTCTTATTCTTTTATGACATTAAATGTCAGTGAAAAAGAACTGTATAGAAATGGTCATTTAAAAATACTGCGAAAATACCATTAAGATATTTTTATAGATCACAGTCGCCTGGTCTGCAACATTCAATTTTATTTCTCAGATTTAAGATTTCTATTTGTTCTGAATCCAGATGATAATTTTTTTAGGTTTTAAAAATGATTCTATCACAAACCTCTCATTTCCTGTAGTCACCCTAATCTGAAGTATCATTTATCTAATGGCTCACAGATGTGTGATGCCAAATTGTAACTGAGCTTACAAAACATACTGAGTTAGGAAAAGAAATGCTTACAAAACATGTTTTCCTACATTTGCTGACATTTGCTGATACAGAACAGTATCTCAGATGTGTCACTTATTTGCCATAAATTAGTCACTCTTTCTTTGAGTTCAAAAAGAACAAGATAAGGTCTCTCACTTAAAGACACCATTGTGTTGAAGTCTGTGTCGTAGGATCATGTGCTGTTTTGTCATGATTTTTACTGGCTCCTTCACCTCACTTTCTCTGACATTTGACCTAAAACCTTAGTCATTACTTAACCGCTTCTGTAATGATGTTTTGCTACATGATCAAGCCCATTAATTTACAGCTCATTATAGTTGTGGCCCACAAGTACTTCTAGTAAGTTGGTTTTCAGTGCTAGTAAAGCCCTAATTCTGTCATCATGTTATTAGTGTTGGAATGGCGTATACTGATGAATTTGGCTAATGTTGAACAAATTCCACAGCAGGAGCTTACAGCTTAAAATAGAAAATACTCTTTAGTACTAAAGTTCTTTGTGTCTCTGCGGACAGGGAAATAAAAGCAAAACTTGCTGCTCTTCTCTAATTTTAGATGCATTCCGGAAAACCTGCAACCATGAAACTTTGCTAATATGCTGACTATAACACCACTGCGACGGACTTCAGGCAAGTATGGCTGTTTTAATCCATTAACTCTTTACCAGTTCGATCTTCGCAGTCTTCCCCAGCAGCACAGCATTTGAGCATTATAGAAAGCTTGGTAAATATTCAAATAAAACACTCTGCCTGGCAGACTGGAACTATGATAAATTAACTGTTCCCACGAGTTTTGCAGACAAAGAATTTAAAGTGCTATGATTGCGGATGAAACAAAAGTGCTTTCAAAAAACATGAGGTTCTGCTGTGTTCTCTATTACATGAAATAATAATCAAACATCTTAATACAGGGCAGCCATTATAATACTTACAAAAACTCAATTGCCGACTCTCACAGAATTCTGCATACTGGACCGAGTCCATCATTCGTGTTTGTCTTTCTGCTCTCTGACAAAAGAGTAGAAGTACATCATGTACTTGTTCCAACAAGAACTTCATTCCACAAAAGAAATTACAGCGCCAAAGTGCCCCTGCCATAACCTTGAAGTAACCCTCCAAAATTAAACATGCATTGGCCAAGTTAAGATGCAGAAACATAAACCACAGGTTGGTTATTAGTCTTGTGAGTTAAATTTCCCAGAGGGACATGTCAATTCTTATTTTAAATATCTGCTTGTACACTGCTCACCTATGACAGACAGTGACAAGGGCTGAGACAGGAAACGTGCTGAGCACTCTTGCCCTGACCAAGGTGCGCATTTAAACTAAGGCACATGAGTAGACTGCCTACCACTGATGAAATTGAAATTGCAGAGTTATTTAATCTACTAGAAAACTAAAGAGCTGTTGATAAGCATATCTGAAGAGAGGCTACAACCAGCATTTGGCCTTAGCAGTTTCTCAAATAAAAAAAAAAAGAAAAAAAAAAGAAAATTATTATCGCAAATACACTTTCTTCCTCTATTTTCTGCCTTTCAGGTCATTCTTCTATGACAGACCAATCCATTAGTTATGAGATCTTGTTGAGAGTCAACATGTTCAATTTAGTTGTAAACACCACCTGTGCAGGAACATACCTGGATATTCTTTCTTTCTTTTATTCTTTACCCAGTCAATCATCTCTACTGTACTTTTACTCATCAGGATAGAAACTGTTCTACTTGGGCATTTTTCAGTTCTCCTATGCATACTTCTGACATCTTGACTATATTTTGTGGAGCTGCCATTTCAGATTAGTAAAAATTTTCAGTTAATCTATTCCATCAAGACATTAAGTAAGTCTAGATTGATTTTGCATCCTTTAAAAATAATTTTCATGATATATGCCATAACCTCAACCCTCACCTAACATAAGAGAGATCTGTTTTGTCTCTGTATTAATTCAGCCATACTTTTGAAGACAAAAGGCACCACCAGAATCATCTAATCTGAACTTCTGCACTGCACACGGCCCTTCTCACATAATACATTCTAGAAATGGCAGTCCTAGAATTTCTTGCGTAATTTTACCACACATTATAGAAAGGAATCTAATTTGGGTTTAATTTTTTCACATATTAACAGAGAACTCCTTCATGTAATTTAAAATGCTAACTTTTTATGCAATAGGGTTTACATTTCATAATCATTTATGCCTTTGTTTACCCGTGATAAATTAGTAGTTGGCTACTGCCAGGTAATACTGAAATTATTAACTCTAGGTGGGTAACCAAACACACTGAGCTTCTTTATGACAAGATTGTCTTGAATTTTACATGGAAATGTGGAGGCTTGCAGAACTGTTGCTTGATATCCCTTCCCAACAACACTCTCTCTAGAGGTCTCTATTCCAACCTCCACCTTAAAGAGGCCTATTGCCAACACTAGATGAAGTGAGCTATGGCTTTCTCTAGCAAAGTATTGAAAACCTCCAAGGACAGACATTATATGTCTCCTCTGGGTAATCTGCCCTAGTGTTGAACTAGTAAAAAAGATTTCTAACATGCCACTTGAAACTACCAACAAGCAACAACTTGTGGTTGTTCCAACCTGCATTATTCTACCCAGCACTACTAAGAAAAATTTAGTTCTATGTTTCTTAATTTATGCTTGGCTTTTTTTATACTTCTGAACACCTACAGGAAAAGAAAGGGAGATAGACTAAATTAGAGGTCATTGAAGAAATAATAGCTTAAAATGTTCACGACCAGAATTAAGAATGTATTTCACACAGGGCTTAGGGTCAACCAAAAGAGTGTATCTCAAAAAAGTCAAGGTATAAAACCATAAGCATCATACACACCCTTCCCTCCATGTATACACTATGCCATAACTGAATTGTGGTTGAAGTAGCACTGAAGTTGATAGTTTGGTTTGAATACGTGCTTGAAGTTTGTTTACTTCAACAGAGCAGGTATGATTTTCACAAGGTAAGGATCTGGTCTCTAGAAAAGATTAAATCCTTCATGTATCAAAGGCAGGAAGAAGCAGTTAGATTAAAGAGAATGATTATCCTCTTCAGAAGCAGACTCAAGCCTCTCAAAGAAGAAAAGCAAATTGCCTTAAACATTAAGGAAACAAATATAGCTATCTTTCAAACAGTAATTCATTTAATAAATCATTACACCTGGTAAGAACAGAACCATAACTAAGGATACAAAGTAGTATCAGGAGACGCTGATGGCAGCAGGACTACTTCTGCAGTGAGCCCGTACAGCTGAAGAAACCATGCACAAAGAAGGTGAAGTATAGGTGTGCTCACATTAAGGACAGAAATCGCCAAGGAAAAAAACCAACCACATACACACAAATTTTGCCATAACTCCCTGAGTTCCCTTATAAAAAATGAAACAAAAAAATATCAATCATCAAAGGTTTACTAAAAGAAAGGTGTTGCTGAGGGATTTTCATTTCTCCTACAAATTGTCTACAGTAGTTGTTTCAATACAGGACTTAATTTTGTTCTTAATATACTAAATGAATGCTCAAACTTACTTTTTCTCTGTATGGATTTTTTCTTAATGTAGTAAAATTACCTGTGTACCTGTGAAAAAAAATTGCTTTTCCCCTCTAATTCTCCTCTCTAAAAGAAGTCTTTCTTACAGGTGGGTTCTACAGTGATGGGCTAAATCATTCTAAGATACAATAGCTTTTAAAATAAATACCTGTATTTTCTTCCTAATACACTTTAAAAGAACCCCCACATCATGGCATGGAAATGTACAGTTCAAGGTATAAGAATAGCCATTCCATCAGTCCTACCAGTTTTAGAATAGTCTATAAATAACCAGCAAATGCAGGCGAAATATACAAAGGTATATTATCTTTACGGAAATACCAAAGCAGAAGACAACAGCAGATCATCTTTCCTCTTCACTTTACAAGAGTACAGCCAGTAATCATTTTCTCTTACATTATCCCTGCTTTGGAAAAATTTAATGCTGCCTTGCATCTACATTTCTAAGGTATATTCCATAAACTGAAAATCAATCAATAACATGGGATAAAAAGGGAGAAGAAAGAGTGAGCATTTTACTGTGAACACAGTGTTTCTCCAGGCCAAAGGAGTTTAAAGGAAACAGCATTCGGTGATGGGAAGTGACAATAAGTTTGTGAAAATGCCATAAGCTGTAAGCAATGCTTTAAGTCTTAAAAATACTCACTTGCTTTTTTTTTTACAGTCATTTTTGAACTTTTTTTTCTTTCCATGAGAACAAGAAATCACACAGGATGATTTAACTCAGAAATAACTTTAGTTTTATACAAGTGAAATTTTCCAAATTCTATTCTTGGAAGGAACAGCAAATGACTCCAACAGGATTGAAGTCCTCTTTCATCAGTATAAAAGCAATTGGCTGGGAATCTTTCCTGCATGAAGAAACACTGACACCCCTAACGATATGCCTCCTTGAAGTAATCTTAGCTTGAAACCAGATACAATAAATAACATCAATGACACTGCTCTACTGGTTTATCAAAAGAATTAAAAACGTATTGTTTTTACTCCCTCTATAGTAGTACTAGTCAGTCTAAGAAGTTAAGAAGCTGAGTTATGTGGTGTACAGCAGAGTTAAAATACTTTGAATGCTTTCCTTGGAACATGCTGAAGGCTGCAGTAGATAGGACCTGGCACAGTAAATGTGTGCTTAGTCTTCCAAAAAAATGTGTTGCATTATATCTTTCTTTCAGCATGAAGAACTAAAAAGGAAGACTAAAAAAAGAAAGGAAAGAAAAGGCAGAGTTGCATGCTGTCACCTACCATCCAAGATGAAAAATAATCTTATTTTGATTCCATTTTAAAGCTTTCACACTTGACATATAAAGCTCTTTGTGTGGGGGGAAGGCAAGAAGCCAAACGTTAACTTGCTTACCAACTCTTCTGCGTTTGAAGGAAATGTGCCGAGTAGCTGCTAAACTGGAACATTTGAAAAACGTATGCAGCATGGCTGGACACCCCTGTGTTTGGCAACAATATTAATGATGAAGATGTTGGCTTCCCAAACTGCTTGAATATTAATATTGTGGCTTGACTTCCTGATTTCCTTTGCTAAAGACCTCTTCATTGTGCATCTATCACAGTGCCAAAGGAGCTAGGTGGCTACCCCAGGGAAAAATCAAAGTTGCCCTGCAATGATTGATATTACTAAAAGAATATGCTAAATATTCATTATTATTATTATTATCATCATTATTTAGACTAGAGAATAACAGGGCACTGTATGCTGTACCAAAAAACCCAAAAAGTAATTTGAGGAATGAAATATAAGATAGCTCAATATTGAAGAGTTTACAAATACGCTGAAAATACAGTTTTACTCTTCGATATCTAGAAATCATCTGAGGATTATCACTATCTGAAGATTTTTGTTACATAAAGGAAAAATGTATTTACTCTTCTGAGAATCACTTGAATTAGTAAGCAAAGAAAAAAAGGGTTTTAAGAGTAAGCATTTTCAAAGATCAAGCTTACTTAGAGTTTTGTACAGAAAATAAAAATGCCACTTGGGGAAAGATCAATAGCTTTTGTGATGTAATACCTGATTTGTCTATAAAGAACAGACATACAGGGAATTTTTATAATTTTTACCGACCCCTTATAGAACATACCATACATTCTGCAGTAACCATTAACCTGAACAAGTCTGCATAGCAAACTTGAGGCCTTTGATGTAGTACTGGTTTTGAGCGCTCGTGTGTTTAGTACAAAGTTCCCAATAATAGAAGAAAAAATGAGGTCTTTTTCTGTCAGACCAAGGTGATCCCCAGTTTAATGTATTTCACAGTTATAACTAGTAAGAACAGTTTTTCTTTTATCTCTACAGTATTATTAACCCCATTCCCCATGAATAAACAGAGTTTAAGACCTTAAGAACCTTAAAAACCTTAACTATTACACAGATGTTAAGGATCCACAACTGTAAATGATATGAAACTAAGCTGTGGATTACGACAAATATTAATTACACCTT